AATGTTAGGCTGCTAATACTGTGTTTAATATAACGTGCTAATAATAGGCTGCTAACACTGCTTTTAAGTTAGCATGCTAATCTTAGGCTGCTAATACTGCTTTTAAGTTAGCATGCTAATGTTAGGCTGCTAATAGTGTCTTTAATATAGCCTGCTAATGTTAGGCTGCTAATACTGTCTTTGATATAGCATGCTAATGTTAAGCTGCTAATACTGCCTTTAATATAGCATGCTAATGTTAGGCTGCTAATAATGTCTTTAATATAGCATGCTAATGTTAGGCTGCTAATACCACCTTTAATATAGCATGCTAATGTTAGGCTGCTAATACCACCTTTAATATAGCATGCTAATGTAAGGCTGCTAATACTGTCATGCTAAGACCAACTTTAAGGCTGATTTAGGAAGCAGATTATTGTAGCACCTAGATCCTGTTAAATAGATTATGACTCAAATAATCACGACTCTCCTGATGTGGTGAACATTTGAAGGTTATAAACGTGTGAAGTCTGAGCGTTAGCATAGCTCACAGAGAACTGCTCACTGCTAAAGGAAGTATGATAGGAAGCATCCTGCTTCCTCCCTTCTTCCTCACTGGCTACTGATGAAGAGTCTGACTGATGTAATGATCAAAGCTAACATGCTAATGCTAGTTTTTATCATGTCTTTTCTCAGTGTTGACATTAACAAAGTGGCTTTTTTAGGATGTTATGAAACAATGCCATCAGCCCAGATATTGGATCATAATTTGTTTGTGACTGGAGGTCAGAAACACGCCTCTACGTCCAGCAGCTGAATCCAACATGGCCGCCTTCTCTAACGGCTTCCTGTGCTCCGCCCTCAGGCCCACTCCATCATGAACTTCGTGGTGCGGTACCGTCCAGACGAGCAGCCGTCTCTGCGACCGCATCACGACTCCTCCACCTTCACCATCAACATCGCCCTGAACAGGAAGGGCGTCGACTACCAGGTACCCGCCCCCCCACACAGAACCAGAACCAGAACCTCTGACCCAGACGGTTCTAACAGAACCTCTGAACGTGTTTCAGGGCGGAGGCTGCAGGTTCCTGCGCTACGACTGCAAGGTGGAGTCTCCCAGGAAGGGCTGGTCCTTCATGCACCCGGGGCGCCTCACACACTACCACGAGGGCCTGCCCACCACCCAGGGCACCCGATACATCATGGTGTCCTTCGTGGACCCCTGAGGGCCAATCGCAGCGCGCCTCGTCACATCACTGCGTTCATGGTTTCACACGGGAACCTGAACGCAGCATCCTTTCAGAATAAGAGCCCCTTCATTGAGTTCTAAAAGAACACGTCACATTTCAGGGTCCTGAAGGCATCGCTGCTGGGCATTTCAAAATAAGAGTCTTTCCTATGGGTTTGTCACCTGCTGCCTTAAATGAGTCTATGCAACTCTGTGTGTGTGTGTGAGTGAGGACGTTTCTACCAAAGTGAGGACCCTGCTGCTCCTCTTCCAGCAGCTTATGGAGAAAAAAATGAAAAAATCTAGAGAAACGGATCTATATCAGTCTCACTGTGAAAAACAGAGTTAGAAAATAAGGAACCATGAATCTGAAATGAACAGAGAAACATGCAAACACTCCTATAGTTTCCACACCATACAAGCTTACTATTGTATCCGGATACACTGTTTGAGTATCGATACTTTTCAGAGTATTAATACTTTTAATAACCTCTGGTTTACAGTCAGGATTCAGCACACGGTCCTCACTACATATAGCAAGATGAGCGTCTGTGATGTACAGAGATTTTTAGATGTAGATTTAGTTTAGCAGGAGGCGTTGCCACGGTAACCTCCCCTGTCTTTAGCATGGTCAGCTATGAACCAATCAGGGGTGTAAGCGGGTCGTTAGCGGGTTCTAAAGGGTTCTAACGTTCTGCTGCTGACGGAGGAGGAAGCTGCTCTCTGCTTTGTACAAACTGCTCTAAATTATTTGTTTCAAAGTGAATGAATAAAGTTTTATTAATAAACTGAACTCTTTCTTTTTTTTACTGGAATCTAACTGGTTTTAGACGGACTGACTGGTTCTGAATGGTAATTCACAGTGGAGAGATTTTCTCATTACATCGGTTCATGACATGTTTCTTAAATTGTAGGGAAATCATATTTAAATGTCAAATCATTCTGGCTTAA